CTCGCTGGATATGTTTTTGGCTCAGATAGTGAGTGATTTTGTCTATATTCATTCAAGATTTTGTAAACACTTGATCGACCTACTCCAGAAATGTCAGCAACCTTACATACGATATTTCTATAGCCAATCCACTATTCTCTTGCATCTGGTTCTTGTAGATATTTAGAATAATTTGTTTTTCACCTGCGCTAAGATGAAGCTTTATAGCCCTTTTTCTGGGTGACGTTAAGCTGATTTCAACCACTTCATCAGCTGTATCTGTGTCAGACATTTTAGACTAATATTAAATTTCCGCAAGAAAAATCAAGTCAAGACGTGCATAAAACGTTCGCGCTCATAAACGGGTATCCGTAACTGATTACAATCCTGTGCGTGGTGACGAACCATCAACGTGACGCTGAGAGTTCCCTCTACTATGCAGCGTTGCCAGGCTTAATGTCACAATGATCATGTTTTATTGGGAAAATTGTCAGAAATCGCCGAATGTTGAACAGAAACATTACAAGAAGTCTAACCTTGAAATGTGAGGCTACAAATCGATATTCTTATAGGGGGAAGGGCAGGGAGCTGTTATGGTTCCTATTAACCTTGGTGAAAGTTGGAAACGGTAATATTATATATGGCATACATTCGGTTGAAGGTGTGTGCACGGAAAATAGATTGCGGATAGGATTTTAATAGATAAATCTGCACAAAAAACACAAAAGGAGATTTTTGTATTTCCCTGAAGAATATCTCAAGGTTATTTCAGATGTACTCATCGAAACTTTATGGAAGGATTATCGAAACCTTATTTTCAATTGCGATAGGGCCACATACCTCGACATCGCATTAATGTGAAAAATAAGACAATAGAAAAAAATTCCCTCACTGATGCTATCTCTTAGGAAAAATTTAACTATAAAGATTGCACAAAAATTTTCTTCACCTTTTTGAGCTTGTTTTCGTATCTCCGTATATGCCGTGCATAATTTGCTGCAGATTAAATTGGAATATATCTTTGTGATGCCATTTATTCTTATATAATGTCCTTTACAACAGTTATTGCACGTATTGCACCAACAGATTGATTTGTGATCCATGCGAATGTGATCAACCACTCTGGCGAAAACTCGCCGAGCGTGGCAACCGTGCGACTTTGTCTGGACGCTCGTCGCTACAAGCCAATCAGGAAGAGGCCGACAGAGCGTTATGGCTACCGATCACGCGTTGATCACGAATCAACCACTGTTTACGATTACTTTGTAGCTTCGTTAGATACACTTTAGATGAACTTCTTTTTCTGGATGTCAACGTTCCAGAAAAAGAGATCAATCGCTAAATGCTACACGGATAAATTCTAAATCACAAGTGTTACAGGGTTGAATTTATAAAATGTGTAATACTAGAATACGCTTTTTTGAAATGACGTGATAAATTTTTGTTATTCACGTTCGTAGCCAGCTTTTTTCTCAGAGGTGTTAACCTGTGCCGAATTTTTTCTTTATGTTCTTATAACAACGTTCATTGTTTTTTATGGTGCCCTAGTGTATGAAATTTTAAGAAATAAGTCTCCAAATTACGAGTATCTGCATAATGTTTTAAAGAAGAAATCCTCTGTTCGACATGTTTTTCTAAGAAACGATGATTGTTGCCATGCACCATCTAAATTCACAGCGCCTTGTTGAATAAATATTTAGAACTTGTTCAAAGTACTTCCAGTCATAACTTCAAAAGGCAGTTTAAGAAGGTACCCAGTTTCGAAGTGCTGTTTTTAATATTCATCTTTATTTTGTATAAATGCCGCAATAAATATTATTATTCCCTCTTAGTTATCCCAATACTTGTGATTACAACCATTGGCACAACGCAGCGAGAGCTAAATTATCTCCACCGAAAGCAAGAGACTTGTTCCCGGCCCTTTCTGAATTATCGCTTTCTGTCGCCGCGCTTCGTCTATGTGTTCTTCGCCCATGTCGGCGATTTTCTGCATCGTATCTCGCAGTTCGTGATGTAGGTCATTCAGTCTAGAAGGATATCGAATCCCCGTCATGGACGCTTTTGCCAAAAGATTAGCGGCTATTAAACTGTCCACATTCTCAGGATCGATAAGTCCAACGAATTTGGACTAGGTGGAAGTGGCAAGTGTGGGTATAAATTGGTAAAAATAAAAAGTTCACTCATGGAGTGGAATATTGATAGGATATCTAAAGTTCGAAGAACAGTGGAACAGCAGACACCTGGGTATGGGGTTTAAAGGCGAAAAAATCAGAGAAAAAAAGTATATAGATTGACTTTGCATAAGTTAGCGCCTGTTAAAATTAAGCTACGAAATGTGTACTTAGGTAAAAGGCGGTTAGAATGAAAAAATCGAAGAAATAAGTAGATAGAGTTTATGTCTTCTGGAACGGCATCGGGTGCCAACCTTGACATCACACGACCATGAAGTATCAATGACCTTGAAATCGCGTGACTTTGGAGCGATGTACAATTACAAGGCTATTAACAATCTGTGTATATTCTCGAAAATATTCGAAAAGCCAATTTATAACGTAATACTTTTTGATGTAAAAATGTAATTATTCAGCAACAGCATGGATTATTTCCGAAAAGGTGCCTGGATACCAATTTGCTTTCTCTATCTGACTGCGTTGCCGATGTTTTGGACAGAAATTTCCAAGTTGACGGTACTTATACCTTATACAGCAAGGCTTCTTTTGATCGAGTTAATCATAATTTGCTATTGGCAAAACTTGCTGAGGTTGGTGTTCTTAGCCCTTTTGTATTGCGGGTGGCAATTAAAACCGCATGTAAGTCGAGAGTCGTTATTCCATCATCGGGCGTTTCTCTCAAAATTCAATCTGATATCGACAAACTCAACGATTATTGTCGGAGAAATGACCAGCCATTTCACACTAAAAATTGCTTTTCAATCGCATTCACGACTAAAAGGTATGGTAAATTTGCTGCTATTTTTGCTTGTGCAATGTTACAGTTCACATACTTGATAAGAAAACAGAATATTGGTCACTCCCTTGAAGACTAAGTTCCCATACTTTGTAATATTTTTTTTCTTCACTGAATTGAACAGATATTTTAGGTATGTAGGTTATAAATAACAATCTGTACAACTTAATATGTTTAACTATACTGTGGATGTCTATTTTGGAGATTTCTTCTGTTTAATGTCCCTGATTTGTTAAATAAAAACAAAGACCCTTAATAACGTTGAACCAAAAACTGTAGCGATGCGATCTAGAGCAGAGTTCCCCAAACTTTTTGTGTCGTAGACCCCTTGCCATGTTTTTCCGTGTTGGGTAGACTGATATTGATTTCCTGTAAATTTCTAACTGTAGTGAACTTTAGTAAGTAAAAACACATGTTAATTTATACATTTATTAACTGAATTTAAATTAAAACTACACAAAATAAAATTTGTATCTGTTATGTAAAATATACGTAACATTAAATAAACAGGTGTCTGACCAATAAGTGCCCGCATTGGGAATAAGTGCCCTCATTGAAAAAAAAATAAGAGGGATAAAATAAAAAAAAGTGAAAAACAATAAAAAAAAGTTTTTTACTTAAAATAGTACAATAAGCGAGTTCGTTTATTAATTATAACATAAACGTATGTTCTACAATAATTTCACTGTTAGTTTGATTAAATTCCGCTTCTTATACGTTTACGTTATCTAAAAATAGGCAAAAAATTAACGAATTTTAGTGTTTACCTATCCTTCAATTTTCAGAATAATTTAAAAAAAATATTTTCTATAAAGGGGGGTTCTTTAAAAAAATCAATGCTGGCACTTATTCCCAATGCGGGCATTTATTGATCAGACACCAATAAACATAAAATAAACTATAAATAAAATAACATAAGCAATAAGTCAATATTTTAGTGAGAAGGATGAACCTGATGCTTTAATAATAAATTATCAACATTCCATCCATAATACGGGATAAGTAACGGGTATGTTGTATTGCAGCCAGAATTGCTGATATCCGTTTTCAAACTGAACCTTAAGATCTTCGTTTGTGCTTAGTTCAGTCAGTTCCTCTTGTATTATGACATTCGTTTCTTCTATGTCACCATATGGATTAATTATCCACGGTGGTATTACCATAGTCAAAATATCCTCAAACCTAGATTCAAAATCTGAATAGAGGGCATTTAAATGTTGAACGTAAGTTGAAAACGTCGTCTTCCTGGCAGCTTATCTGTGACAAATTGGGGAACTGAGAAAATTCGCCTCGTCCAATATTTTGCTTCATTAGTTTAACTCTGGCAAGAAACGCTGATAAGATGGACTTTGTTTTAATCAAATTTAAACTGTCGCCTTGTAATTGCAAATTAACCATATTAAATTTTGTAAACAAATCTGTTAAATAGGCGATGTCTGTTTTCCTCTTCATTACATTTTCTTTTAAAATTTTATCTTTAGTATCCAGAAATTCTAAAATAGTCTCAAAAAGTGCAAAAAATCTTATCAAACATAAGCCTTTCGACAGCCAGCGTACTTCTGTGGGAAGGAGTAATTGATGAAAGTGTTCGTCATTTTCTTCACACAACTGCGCAAATAACCGCCTATTCAACGCGTTGCTTCGGATTCGGTTTAATGCATCAATGACTAAATGAAGTGATTCATGCAATCAAACACTCAAATTTTTAGCAACTAAATGTTGTCGATGGATGACGCAATGTATTGCTAACACCCCTGACACATTTTGTTTTAAATAGCTTATAAATCCACGATAATGTCCAACCATGGCAGGTGCTCCATCTGTAGCTACTGATATTATATTTGATAAAGGAATTGCTTTTTCAATGAAGTAATCCTTCAAAATATGAAATATTGATTCACCTTTAGTGTCGGTTATCAAAGTTCTTGCGAAGAGCAGTTCTTCGTAGATTTCTTGATTCATAATAAAACGAACATATGCCAATAATAATGCTGCATTATCAGGTAAAGTTGTCTCGTCCAGTTGTATAGAGAAATGGGTCGTTTGCAAATAATTACATAAGAAGCTTTCAATATCAGAACTCATTTCATCAATACGTCTTTCAACAGTATTGTTGCTTAAGGGAATTCTTTTAAGATATCAGATGCAGGTTTGTGTAAAACAGTCTTTAAAACCTCTTCAACGGCTGGCAAAATTAACTTCTCTCCGATAGGTATGCGGTTTTCCGGATTTTGCTATAAGTAACGAGATATTGTAAGACCCCCGCAAACCGTCATCATTTCTTTGTGACGTCGAAGCGAACATTCTGTCCAGTGTAGGTCTCTTCTGAAATTTATCTTTGAGTGTTTGAAAGTATTTCAAATCTTTCTCTGTTTTATCAGGGTGGCATCTTCTCAGATGATCGTGCAGTTTAGATGGTTTAATAGCGTCATTGCTCAAAACTTTGTTGCATAAAAGGCACATAAGCGATTGTTTGTCCGGCAATGATGGAATGAAGCCAAATTTCAAATAATCAACACTGTACTGTCTACATTTCTTCTTAGATTCGGACTTGGCATCAGTCATCTGTGGGCAAAATTAAATTATTTAAATAAGTCAGAAAATCCAGCAGCTGTATATTAAACATATTTTTTGATTTTTCAAAAAAACATTCCATAATTCGAACATCTTCTTGCAACAATTAGCTCGAATTACGGAGATTGCACTGTAATTATATTACCGATTGCTAAAACTTTCAAAAAGAAACTATTGAGGAGTACTCGTGTAATTTTGCATGATTGATTATTTAACTACTAATAACCAGAGTCATGATTGGTGTAATTTATCTATCTTTGCTAACTACGAGTACAAAACTAAAATTTAATAAAAAATAATGTACTTACTTTTCTCCAGCACTCTCAAACAAAATAACACTGACTCACTATAATTTGTGTGATATACTATCTGTTTATATTTTTTAAAATATTTTCTTAGCACTTTCCTTTTCAAGATTCAGGAAACGAATAAACGTATTTGTCCCAAATTCGTATTTATAGAGAGACGAATTGAACAAGTCAGTGCAAGGTAGCGAAGCTCTGAGACTACGACTCTCAGGTTTTTACAAATTCAAAATGTATTGCGACCACAAAGCGAATACCAACATCCTACAACTTACACAATTTTATAAACATATATATTAATTTTTTTACTTCATAGGTACTTTTATGAATAATGTATATGTTTTACTATCAGTGTATGTGTTGAGATCCACTATCGTGGAGCCCCATATTCATTTCATGGACCCCCAAATTTTTTCTCGCTGACGTAGACCCCTTTCAGGTTGTCATAGACCCCTAGGGGTCAAAATAGACCACTTTGGGAATCAATGATCTAGACTATTGATAGTTGGGTCACTTTCACCGAACATCCGTTGGCCAAATGAGATACTCATGTTTCGCATATTCCGCCTCTCTCATCGCCGACCCCGCTCCGTAGGACGTTACAAAAATTGATCGCACTTGCCCATTTCCATGGAAACAACACAACCGACCAACGTGACAAGCGAAGCGAGCTGGTAGCGGCAGCGTGGAAGACCTCCACTATAATTTTATTAGCTTTTACGTGAATGAAAATCAGGTCAACCTGGATAGCGGCCGGCATCGAAACAAAACAGCGGCGCAGAATGTCCAAATCCACCTTCGAACGTGTAAACAGTTCGATGCGACAATGTCTGTCTGGTGTAAGAGATGAACGATCCAAGAAGAATCTATCGTACTCGTAAAACTATCCAATTCCTCGTTTATTTTTTGACTGGTCAAGTTGCCCAGTCTAAATTGAACTGTGGCATGAATATTTACGTGGAAATGACTATACGATGGCGTTCAGCCGCCGTTTTACTTCCCACGCTACTGGGTGAGCAGTTATTGTAATCGCAGAAAACTTAGAAAGTTATGTTATAATAACAATAATAATATTAATATTAATAATAATAATTTCATTTGAAATGATGTTGGGATACCACAGGGCAGTGTGTTGGGTCCCACATTATTTGTCATAAGCATCAATGATCTTCACAATGATTAATTATAATGATACCAGCATACTCATTAGCGACAAAACACCACTAGATTGAAACATAGTGGTCAGATGGTATTTGAATCTACTTATCTGAGGAAATGGTTTTCATTGAATAAACTTGTACAAAATAAGAACAAAACTGATTTGATAATAAAATTCTCTTATTTGATAAGGAATTACATTTGTGCCTTGGAATATTGAACAAATAGTGGATGTTTAGGGTGAAATTTATGGTGTTTCCTTTTCCTATAGACCTGTTTCAAGTCTGCACATTAAAAGTGTTTAATATACTAAGTGACATATAAATCCGAACACCCAGTTTAAATGGTTTTATTTTAATAAAATTTTGTATAAGTACTTAATGAAGCATAATAAGTAAATGATACAAATTTCAAAATGATTGCACTGCTTTAAAGCCCTTTGACCTTTAATAATGTGTGGATGCACCCTGATGTGCTACGCATTCTCCAACGCGCCTAGGCATGCTTCTGATCAGGTGGTCAATGTCCTCCTGTGGTATCTCATTCCAGGCAACCACCAACTCCTCTCGAAGTGCTTCTAGAGTCTGAGGAGGACGTTGCAAATTGAGCAATCTCCTACCCATCATATCCCACACGTGCTCAATTGGGGATAAGTCGGGAGATCTTGGTGGCCATGGTAATAATGTGACATCATTATGTTGAAAGAAGTCTATTGTGACTCTTGCAACATATGGTCGGGCATTATCTTGTTGGAAAGTTGGATCTGCCAGGGTGTCAAGATAGGGTAAAAGATGGGGTTCTAGAACTTCGTGGATATAACGCTGCGCGTTCATGTTACCTCTGATGAAGATTAAAGGTGACCTGGAACCATAAGCTATAGCACCCCAAACCATAACTCCAACAGTGTGATGAACATGTCTTTCAACAAAAAACTGTGGATTGCTCCTTTCACCACGTTGCCTTCTAACCCTGGCATGACCATCGTGCATGCCTAAACAAAATCGAGACTGTCACTAAAAACAATACTGTTCCATTCCTGATCCCAGAGTGACCGTTGTCTGCACCACTCAAGGCGATTACGTCGGTGTTCTCGAGTTAAAGGGAGGACCCAGTGTGGCCGGTATGAAAACAAGCCAAAACTTCTCATTCGTCGGTAAACACTTCGCATGCCAATAGGTCTTCCGTGTTCTGCAAACCATTCATTTGCAATGGACCTGGTAGTGGAGAAACGGTCCCTTAAGGCCAATAATCTTAGGCGGCGATCTTCACGGTCTGTTGTTCTACGGCGGCGTCCAGTGCCCCTTGCTCTTTGCGTACGGCCTTCTCGAAGCCATGCCTGACAACACCTAACCACAGTGTCTACACTTCTTTGCACTCTAACTGCAATTGCCCGAAAAGAAAGTCCAGATTTCCGAAGTCCCACTATACAGCCCCTATCAAACTCACTAAGTTGACGAAATCGTACAGGTCTCCGTACTCTAGGCATCGTAACCGATCGTAAAGGATGTCAAGAACCAAAATCCGCCAACGTTGATTCTTTACTGTGGCTGGAATATTCATTTTTAGAGCGTTAGTCAATTAAAAAAAGCAGTATAAAAACCAGAATGTCCAACTGATAAGGCTGAACAATTTTTCACTTGTTATTTACAGTAAGGTTAATACATTCACCAACTTTTATTAAAATAAAACCATTTAAACTGAGTGTTCGGATTTATGTGTCACTTAGTATATTTAGACCAAAGCAATTACAGATTCAAATATCCAAAATAACACACTTTCTGATAGTAATATCAAAGTAAGTCAGCAAACTAAAGTGTTAAGAATACATTTAGATGAATGTCTGTCTTGGACTCCACACATAAATAAAACTGCTTTGATCCTATGAAATATAAATTCAGAATGTTTTTTAATTGTATATTGCGCAAATTTTTAATTGATTTTACGCTATGGAATAATGCTGTTTGGAAGCTGCTCATAATTGCAAAAATTGTTTGCTATCCAAAAAAGCGCAATAAGAGCAATGAGACATATGAAACTTAATGAAACGTGTAGAGCGTATTTATTGGTTTAATGCACTTTACATGTTTGAATGTGTTGTTCACAGTGAAAAATAGAAACGATTTTTCCACGCAAAATTCGGTTCAAGAGCTCTAAACCTCAGCATAGGCTGTCAGTAGGTGAAAAAAAATGAATGAATGAGCAAAAATTTTTCAGAATGGTGACACTTCTGCTTATACCGGAGTGGAGTCAACAACGTGATTATTTTAAGAAAAACAACCGTACGTTTCTTGTCGTTTATGTATTATACGAAAGGGTGCGTATGTAACACTCATAAAAGGATCCACTTAGGATTTTGAAGGGCCAGTTGTCATGTAAACGGTGTCATATAGGATAGGATTAAGTCCAGATTAAAATCTAAGCTATGATAACTCAACCCAAGCGTGACAAACCCCTTTAAATGCAGCCCTTTCCAGCTTATAGGAAACACTGTAGCCTGTAGAATAATTTATGATAAATTTATTACTCATAGTCCAGGATCTGTTGAAGCATATAATGACAAACAGATTTTTAACAGACGCAAATTGGTTAGGTTATATATGCAGCTTTGTCAGTTTGAATCGGCAGCCGGTTTCAGAAGCATTTGATAGATATGCAAAAATACATGATCTTTGACGAAATCCAGAAAAGTCGAAAGTAATATATACGTTGACCACCTTACCTCCTCGTTCATAAAATGGGAATGGTTAGCTGTTCATAATCTATTTAAAGACGCGTTATTATTATCATAAGTAATGACTACGCAAATTATTGCTAACCACTTAGATGCACCTGCTCCAGTGCCCGGTGCTGTTAGACTGAAGTGAATAATGTTCACGTCTGATTCATAATTTTTTAACAAATGTTATTAGACATGTTATACGTTATTTTTGGGTCACTCTTTGCTATTCAGAATATTCAATACACCGGGTGGCGCATCGGCAACGAAACAGACGCATTTACTGGCAGCTCAGTTTTTTTTTTGGAAAACGCTCAGATTTTGTTTTCGATAGGGACACAAGTTTGGCAAAAAATCACGTTAACACGTGCAGCCCCCTAAGCGGGGGTGACACCACCCCCAAAATCTTAAATGGAAAGGGGGGTCGAGTGATGCCTTATTTTAAAGGTCTTTCAATTCCCTTTATAATGATGTAAAATACATGAGCTTCAGATCAGTAGTTTTCAAGATTTATTGATTTAAAGCTTAAAGTAGACTTTAATTGGTATATCAGATCAGTTTCTACTACTTTCAGAAGAAATTTGACTAAAAGAATTTACTACGCCCATAGTTTGTTTATCATTTTGTTGTTGGAAATAGCGATTGGAGCGGTTTTTTGTGGCAAAAAAGTTATTTCTTGAAGAAAGATAAGTAAACATCTCGTACTTATTTTAAATAGGAATTTAGTACATAGTTTGCGATTGATTTGACCACACTTTGTGGCTAAAATAACTTTAAGTTTTGCATATGGAAATAAAACAACAATATGACATATTTGT